TGAGACTACCAACCTATTAACCTCCATAGAGTCCTTTGTTCTCCTATTCTTTGTAATACCTTTTCATTTCTAACCTTTTCTACCCACGTTATCCTCATCATTCGCTTATAACACCACATTTCGAAGGCTTCTAACTTTTAATATGTCTGTGACTAGACCTTCAAGCCTGAGAAGGTGTCCTACCAACCTATCTCGCCTACTCTTTATTGATATCCAAAGAGTCCTCTGTTCTACTATTCTTTCTAATACCTCATCATTTCTAACCTTCTCTTTCCACGGCATCCTCATCATTTGCCGGTAACACCACATTTCGAACGCTTCTACCCTTTTCTTTTCCGCCGCGCCCATCGTCCATGTGTGGCAATTAGTGGCTCGAAAAAGGTGAAAAATACATATACATTGTTTGAACGTTTTTCTATTTTTAAAGCACCTGTCTTTTACTAACTGCTTTTCGTAAGATATTCTACCTATTCATTTATACAATTATGGAATGTTTGTGATTAATTCCGAAACCTTCCCGAAATGTTAGCCAAAATAGCCTTATTATTGAATGTAATTTATTTTTATGACGCGTCTTATTCGCCGAATGATTTATGACTGCACGGCTGTCATCATCAAAGGGTAAGAAGATGCTGTTCTATTGATCATCCTTCGTTTGCGTACGCTTATTAAGCTTCGGTTGTTTCGGTCTTATTCTGAGTATTTTGAATGCTCTTAAACATTTAATATTAAAAAAAATGTATATATTATATTAAAAATGACTTTTCATATTATTTAGGAACATAAGAAATCTATGGAAATTACTAAAATATCTGCTTTCATGACTGCATCAACAACCATAGTGTTTATTTGCGATATATTTTATTTTAATTGCTAATGAGTTCATTTATCGTAATTGTAATAATTACCACTATCGCATGAATTCTAGGGCGCAATCGAAATAGTAATTATCCTAAAGGTAATAATGGTAATAAGAACCCACATGAGAATCAGGGTAATGTTATGGTTTAAGTACTTATAAATCCAATTATCTACTTAATATTCTCTCTAATGCTTTCTCATTTCTAACCTTCTCTATCCACGGTATCCTCATCATTGGCCTGTCCACCGTTCGTGTTTCGCACCCGTACAGCGCCGTGCTCCAAACATACGGCTTTAACAATCTTTTCCTGAACTATTACCCTACCTTAACGTCTGATTTGTTTAACTCTTTTTGGACTTGCACACTGTAATTACTGATATTTATGAATTGAACAGACAAAATTATACTTAACTTGGCTAAGGTATGACTAAATATTACGAATATTAACATAAAATCATCATTAGACGCTTAAACTATGTCAAAACGTGCAATAGAAAAATTCTATTATACAGTGTAAATGGTAATAGAGTGATCTGTTTGTAGTACATATTATTACGTAACAGGTGATTAACAGTCCTTTTACGAGGTAGCAATTATGTCATTATGGTGACATCAACTGGGGAACAGCAAAAGTAAAATATTCACACACACACTCATGCATACACATATGTATATATGTTCCTCAGGGTAAATAATAACTGAAGGACATAAATGTTGTTATTCATGTTTTACTTTTATGACAATATATAATTGACAGGTGTCGAACAGTAACTAAATGAAACTTAAAATCCCAAAATTCCATAAAACGTTTGGAAACCTAAAACGCGTTTTGGTTACAGTTGCCTACGAGGCATTAGTTGTACCAGAGTGTCGCGAATTTTGTGTTTTTTCGTATATTTATTTATTCAAGATTATCTATTTTGTTCCCTTCAAAGTAATCCCGACCAGATAATGTACTTATTTGCCAACATTTTTTCCAATCCCCGAAGTACTTCAAAAAATCATTTTTTGTGATCTTGTTCTAGTAAAACAGAAAACTTCGTGGTGTAATATTTAACGAGCATGTCTGAATTAGAAATTTAAACAATAACCTGTGAGGATAGTAAAGGGGAAGTGGAGGATGCTGAATGGGATTACTGTCTGCTTCTATTTTACGAACGATAAAATTGTAAATAGGTTGTCCTTCTAATTAGAATTTATGACCGGAAACAAATTAACTCGCTTTTGTAAAAGGAAGTCAAAGACCGTTGATTTTACCAGAAATTGCATCTGCTTTTCTTCTAATTTCTAACAAATAATGGAGAGATGTAAAATAAAAGAAATCAATGCGGGTTTTTATCCCCAGGAGCATTTAAACCCTTTAAGATGAAATTTATTTGTAATAGTGGCTGCTAGCGATCTGCACAAAAGTGCGAAGCCGGAGAATAGAGCGGAAAGCCCTCTTTAGTTCTTTTACGAATCGTGGGAATGGACGGACAATACTTAGTTGGGGACAGACAGATGACACTGACAAAATGACATGAGAAAATATATATTTTTGCTTATCTCCACTTTTAAAATCTATTACCTAAACAGATTTAGGTACCATTTAAACAACGGCCTTTGATCACATTGTCAGCTTCTAGATCATAGCTTAGCATTTCCGGATCGTTTCCAGATTCGTTAGCTCTAGTCCAGGTTTTTTGAATCATTAATCAGTAATCAAAAAATAGTAGGGAAAAAGTAGGGAAAGAGCGAATATAAAGATAGAAGAAGTGGCTGATTTTAGATACCTAGGAAGTCAAATAAGTCACGATGGAAGGAATAGTAGGTATATAAAGCAGACGATAGCGCAGGGTGGTGTCGCCATTAATAAAAAGAAGTCACTTCTATGCTCGCGAACGGTTAATTTAGAAATTCGAAAAAGGTTCTTAAAGGTGTATGTTTGGAGCACGGCGTTGTACGGGTACGGAACATGGACAGTGGGCGCGGCGGAAAAGAAAAGGTCAGAAGCGTTCGAAATGTGGTGTTATAGGCGGATGATAAGGATATCGTGGATAGAAAAGGTTAGAAATGAAGAGGTATTGGAAAGAATAAGAGAACAGAGTACTCTATGGAATTTAATAAAAATAGGCGAGATAGGTTGGTAGGACACCTTCTTAGGCATGAAGTTCTAGTCAGAGACATATTAGAGGCAGAAACAGGAGTTAGAAGGGGTAGAGGTAGACCTAGATTAGATTACTGTTCGCAAATAGTTAAGGATGTGGGCTGTTCTAGTTTTAGGGAATTGCAAATTTTAGCTCAGGATAGGAAAGAGTGAAGGTACGTGTCCAACCAGTCTTAGGACTGATGACCTTACGATGATGATAATCAGTAATCATGTGATTACTGGGGTAGTTATAATATTCCACAGTTAATCTTTCACTTTTTTTCTATTTTAATTTTGTCAGTCTTATCTTCTGCTTCCCATGTTTAATGTACACATTCATCCCTTCGACTCATAAAAAAGAAGTGAAGAAAAATATCTGTTCCTCCCTCTTGTTTTGCACTATTATTATGTGTTGTTGAAGGTAACCGAACAATACAGCGGTAGCTCGTACCTCGTAGGAATAGACCAAGGGTAAAAAAAGTAGATTTAAGATCATTTTGGTCCTAAAAACTCCTTAATTTTTTTTATTGTTCATTTATTCATGTAACAACGTCATGAGGAAGTACTTCAATTTTATTTGTGAACATTTAAAGAGTGACTGAAAAAATCGCCCGTTTTCTCTCTTTAAAATTTAATTTTGAAGTGCTAAATGAGAGTATGCTGTTTGATTTCTGAAATATGAGCATGTGAAGATGTGATATATGGGGTGCAATATGGGAGCATACCTATTAAAAAGCACAAACCATATTCTTAGTATCTGTCTAAGTCTTCATTCCCTTCTTTCACTTTTATTAAAAATATAAAAAAAATCATGTAATAATATTTGTTGCAGTTCTAAATCCAGATAAACTGCTATCAAAATGCAATTTTTGCTTTTCCTTGATTCAATTTCATAGTTCAAGAGAAGGGGTAGCTTTCCACCTTGTAATCGATAGCTTTTCTAAACTAGGTCGTAACACAGTTACAGTTTATTTATATTATTAAAGGTATTCAACATGTTCTGTTAATTAGAGGAGCTTTTATGCAGTTTATTATTGTGTAAGGGTAGTTTTCATCTCCATACAGGTGTATTTCATTTAATACGTGTAAACGTTAACCAACACATTTGTTTATGAATTCAGTGTATGGAAACTTTTTAATTTTAATACCATTATTTTTCCCTATTTTTTCCTTAATATAGAGAATATTTATGATTTTTTAAAGACTTTACAGATTTTTCTGATTTATATATATGCATGATAGGTTATATTTCAAGGATAGTCCCATTTAAATTTGAAAAAAACCTCCAAGAGTGAAAAATTAAAAAATGATTAAAAATAGCTGGAGAAATTATTTCTGTTAGATCTTTTTACCTTTACAGTTTAATTTTATGCACAATATTGAGGTCGTTTTCTATACGTCAGTATATTTAAATTATGTTACTTTTCTTCTCATTTACGCTTGTCAGTTATGTATTTTCTATTTCAGATACATCATGACTCAATAATTTTTCACATTCCTGTCTGAATGAAATGAATTGTTAACCTTAGCATTTATATAGTGGATACTCTTTTTCAAAAAAAGTTTAGAAATACTTAATTTTATTTCGAAACATTATAGGTACAAGTATTTGCTTTGTACATATTTTTTTACAATGAAGCCTGATGCTTGATATAATTTTTTTTTTAAGAGTTTACCTTTAGAAATTGATAAGAATAATCATAATTGTTCAATTTTTGTTTTTATGATACATACGTCTTTGAGCAGTTTCTGCAACCAAAATAAGGCTCTTCTGTTTAACAAAAATCCTATTCTTATTTTACTTTTAATCAATAATAAGGCTAAACGGATAGAAGAAGTAATTCCAATAAACTGCTTTTGTTCTTAATGGTATTAATAACATGAACGTACAATGTCCTTGAGTGTTAAGTAGCATTTTAATCAGTTATTTTAAATCAATGAGATGAAAATGCAAATTATAAACAGACAATTGGCATACGGCTCATTAATTTTATTTTCTCTCTTTTTCAGATGTCATTGTCCATGTTATTAGAGCAGTTGGACGACTAGGCAACATTGACAAATAGCCAGAGATAATTTTAGTAAGGCTATCGACTTCCCTTGAACTCCCGTCAAATGAACCAAAAAATGTAATGCAGAATATTAAAACTTAAATTGGCCGTAAAATTTTCATGAAGATTATATAAAGCGAGACGAAGCAAGATGAGGGTCGTATCGGCTATTTTAATCGTTACAATAAACGCTGTTACAATTTTAGGTATGTACTTATATACAATATAAATTATTTTGGTGTTAAACCGATTAAAAATTTCAGTAATATATAGATATTTTTAGTAACAAATAGATAAAATATTTAATTTAAAAATTAAGCTTTTTATACTGAACAGTAACATAATTAACCACATTCTTATGTACCTACAGTCATTCTTTCCCAAATTCCCCTGAATGCAACTGGTTATATTTGAATTAATGAAAATTCGAATTAATGAAAATTTCGTCCTACCATTATAGTTTAGCTTATGTTTAGAAAACATCGGTTCTATATATATACTACTGCTCAACAATTACACGCCGGTAATTCATTAAAGTGATTTAATTTTTTACCTGTACAGTAAAAGTTCCTTATCCACGGTTTCCTTATTCGCGTTTTCATTATTCGCGAGTGAAAAAATTGCAACCCAGTTCCTGTATTCCTAAAACTTTCATTATTCGCGGATGCAATCGATAAACAGAAAAGGATTCGGTGTCATTTATTAAGGGAATTGACCGCAATAGACCGCTCGTGCCTAGTGTAAATTTTTCCGAAAACATGGGTTTCTATTCTAAACATTGTAATTTAACACTGCGAGATAAATTTGTGATTTTGTGTATGGTAACAGACCAAGGTTCACACTAACTCGGTACGTTTTTGGTTTTCAATAATATGGTCATTAAAAGCTTCTACAAGTACTTAAAGCTGATGCTTCTTGTAGGACACTTATTTTCAATAGAAATTTATCTATCTTACTACAAAATTTCAAACCTCTGTTTCAAACATTAAACTCATTATATCTAGAACAGATAATCTGAATCCCCTTAACGTATCGGCATCTTTTGAGTATGAACTGTTGGTACTTGCCGAGGCAGCTTTTATAAAAGATGTAACCGAGTAAACAAAAAAGGATTCGGTGTTATCTTTCAACGTATCGGCATGTTTTAAGTACTGTTGACTCGTGCCGAGAGAACTAATTTCAAAATTCAAAACAAGAAAAATCACTAAATCTTTTGAACTCTTGCGTAAAGCTGATTATAACGATATATTTTAATTGCGAATTTATCAATGCATTGATTTAATTTTGATACATATTGGTTTTATTTCGGAAACTTAGAACGTATTTCCTATGATTATATACTAATTACCATTCCATATCTACGGTTTCTGTATTCGCGGCATATTTATGGAACATATACTCCGCGAATAACGAACTTTTACTGTATAGATAATCGCAAATTTATTAGGAAAATTGTTGCTGCTGTCTCGCCCTCGCCGGGAATCGAACCCGCGTCCATTTACTCACCATTGCTCTACCACTAATCGTAAGCTGCAAGAGGTGACAGTAGCAACAACGACAATACGTACCTAAATTATGTAGGTCACAAAATCGTTGAACCAATATGTAATCACTATTAACGAGATATAATGAGACATTTACAATAATTCTTGCAGGGTTATTTTTAATACATGAATTTATTTTTTAATTAACTTTTTACCACTACAGATCACCTCTAATTAATGAGAAAAAATTGGTGATCCTGTCACGCCCTCGTCGGGAATCGAACTCGGGTCTCTGGTTTTACACAACATTGTTCTACCACTAAGCTACAAAATGTATTGAAATAAACTCTACAAAAGTTCTACTCGATGTCTAGCACTACTAATAACTCAAAAAATCTCAGATCATAATGTCAAACAGTATAAGTGCTTCGTTTGTGTTGTCTTTTCCTACCGTAATCTTACAATCCTAACCGAATCGCGTTTTTGCTATAACATACTGCTGAGTGCGGTAGTGAAAGCTCTATAGTAGTAGCTACCTAATAGTTAAAATTAAAAACTCAAGTCATCGGTTAACGCTGCGGCTGATTTTTCGGAAGAAAATTTATAGAAATTGGAATCATAAAGACAACTTATGACAACCTGTACTTGAACCCCAAATTACAGAAAAATTCGAATTGCAGAAGTTGAGGAATTCGAGTTAAAAAGTTTGAAGTACATGTAAAACAATGCATACCTATATTAAAGAAACAAAAAAAAAACATTCGAGTCAGAAGTTACAGAAGTTTTGAAAGTTACTTTGAGGATGTATTCAGTTTCATAAAGTAAATCTAGTTTGTAATTTGGATTACCAAGGAAGTTCTTCTTCAATGTTTTAAAAAATAATAGTCAGAATTTAATTTTGAAAATTTGACATTCTTAAAATAATGTAAAATATTTTCGATTATCCAAGTTTCATTTCCGGTTATCTACACCAGAAGGCAGTAACTTTACCATTTTACAGAACATCATGTATTGTATTATCAATTAAATTCTCGGTTAATATAAAAGTAAGTTTAATGACATTAATCTTCCCAAAAACTCCACCGTTTAGGAAGTAAACGATTATCTTTTTCAATTTTTTTTTGAAAAACAATAATATTTATAATAATTGTCTTTCCTCAAAAATACCATACCTTACTTAACAAGATTTTTACTATGTCAACCATTTAATGGTAGTTTTTTTCGAAAATTACATGGGATGTTAAAAAAAAAATCTGAGGATACAAAATCCAAAAACTGTTTTATTTCAAATCTAATATGTACTTTATATATTTTCGCATAATCGAATGCGACTTTTTCTGGGTCGTTTGGCATGTAGATAATCTGTACTAGGGTGCTTCAAACAAAATTTTTATTTTTTTTCTAACTTTTACCCCCTCAAATGTTTCTATTTGATGTAAAAAAAAATCGTCTTGAAACATGAGCGCTCTAGCTCAAATCTAAGGGGTCGTTATTTTTATTTTAGTTTCCCATTTAATTAACATAGGAAAAATTCTT